GTTGTCACCTGTTCTCGTAAAGTGTAACCAAACTTTTGAGCGTTTGAGCCGCCATGTTTCCTGCCAGGTAAATGACGCTCTGCAACGTGGTGACGTCATTCGGGGCGACTGGAATCAATAAGAGAATCGTTTGCAAAAATGGCAAACGATTCCAAGGAACTGAAACAGTGGGAACCGGTTCTCAACAAGAACCGGTCTTCGATACCAATCCCTACCAACGTGTGTGTGTGTTTGTGTAGCAGCAGGGTGATGCTGTGCACAGATAAGTGCACAGTTTCTGATTGGACGGACCGGTGCGATCTACCTGGTGCCTGCTGGTTTTTCTGGACTAACACAAGATGTTGACAAAGCTGATTTCTAGATAATTTTTGCTGCGAGGAAAACAGCGTGGTGTGGACGTCGCATAACGTCAGTTGCGAGAATCAAAGAGAAATCACGCCACCGAAGCTCGCCACATGCCGAAAATGCCACGTCCAGGTGAGCAGCTCTCTGATTTGCTCGAGCGTGTTTGTTCACATTCAATTTTAGTTAAAACTCTGATTTGATTCAGATGACCTTAACGTACAGGTGTCATGAAGGGGGCGTCACCTACAGAGACCAGTTTGGAAGCACGTTTATTTGGCGGCCGGTCGCGGACTCACCTCGCCCGTTATCCTGGATTTTGGAGAGGATCTGGGAGTAGGTCACGGACTCCTCCATGAACACGCTTTCCTCGACGCTGATGTTGATGTTGCTCAGCTCCATGTACAGACCCTCGATGGCGAAGTAGCACGGCCGGTCGTCCTTCTTGTTGTCGCTGAAGACAACCATCACCTGTTCCCGCCACCCAAAATGCTCGCAGATCCGCACCGCGAACCGCCCAAGCTTCTTGTGCGTTGGCCCCGTGTTGGTGATGGACAGGTACGTTCCGCTGGAAAATGCCACGGCCGGGGCGCCTGCCGTCACCATGGGGACGCTCCAGTGGGTGGTGAAGAGGCCGACGGGGGAGGAGCTGTAGGAGCAGCCGGGCCCGATGAACGCCCACGGGTTGTAGGCGAGTTTCAGGTCCACCGCCATGAGCGGGGCGACGGACTCGGAGCACATCCCATCCTTGTCCTGGCTGTTCTTGAAGAAGTACACAAGGTGATGGTTGGGGAGGAGGGTGGGGTCGGCGTTGATGTTTCTGACGGCCCGGTCCACGGCAGGGCCGATGCGAGGCCACGCCCACGGGTATCTGGTGTTGTTCTCTGGTAAAATGACAGCCAGTGTGATGTTCTGGAGGCGTTCGTGGTCATGCTGGGTTTGACCCAGGCCGTAAGTTCGGGCCTCCGCTGGCAGGCTGAGCAGAACCGGCAGAGCCAGCAGGAGGGTGGCGCCTTCCTTCCAGCGGGCCATCCTCCACCCACAGGTGGTCCACGTCCACCGCAGCTGGGTAACCGAGCGCCGCGAGCTGCAGAGACACAACAGAGGCATTAGACAGGCCTGAGGTGTGAAACTCGCTGTAAGCAAAGCCTAATCACATGCTGAGCACAGCGCGAGCTGCCGCCACGCCTCACCTCACTCCAACAATCTGCTCCGTCAGTCCTTAAAGGCCTCGCCGAGGCGGGGGAGACAAACTCCCTGAAGCGTTCCTGGAAGACCACCCTCTAAACAAACAAGATGAAGCCGCCGTGATGTCAGACAAATACGCGCCATCGGTCGGCCTCATGAGCGCCAGACCTGCCTGTGCTAAAGTGAGACCGCCATTGAAGCTTCATACCATAATTTATTTATACAGCACTTTAAAAACACCACATGGCTGACCAGCAGAAATAATAAAAATACAATAAATAAATAACAATAACAGTGTCAGTTACCCACTGAGTCAAAGGCCAGTGAATAAAAATGAGTTTTGCACTGATGTGCAGAGGAGGCTTCGGGGCCACAGCAGCGGACGCACGTTTCAGCCGTGATTTAGGGCCTGAGACCGTCCACTGCAGGAAAACACGCTCCTCATCGCGCCTCGTTCACACACACACTAACACAGACTGGGGCAGCCAGGTTTCGAACCACCAACCTTCTGATCAGTGGATGCTGAACCTCCTGAGCCACAGCCGCCCCTAAAACAACCTGAACGTGGAGCAGCTCAGGGCGTCAGACACACTGTGGATGGGGGGGGGGATGTGGGTGATGGGTTCGTGCTCGTCTCCCAGTGCAGCTTTCAGCACAGAGACAGGCTCAGAGGTGCCACTCTGCCACGCCAGTTGCTCATCCTGCATCTGTGACCGTGTGCACACGGGATCACCTGCGGGCACGTTGGCACTAACGGGCTTCCATACACGCCGTGCCTGAAAGCGTCTGCGCCCGCGGACCGCAGCTGTCCGTCCTCGGGCTTCCTGAACTTTGCCCCCGGAGGAAAAGTGTGTCTCCAAACTTTAACGCTGTAAAAACACGTTCAGAGATAAAAACACGGAACTTCAGCACACTTACATTCAGCGCGTTCACGTGCGCGCAGATCAGCTGTAAATCCTCCAAGTCTGCTCAGGTCACAGGCACGAGCCCTCCGGAGTGTCAGCCCGAGCCCACTCAGCTCCCACTGCCACACAGCGGCGGAGCAGCCGGACCGACCACAGCCTTCAGGGCGGAGAGCCGGGGAGGAGCGGGGGAGGAGCGGGGGGAGGAACCAGACCAGGGCTGCACAGCAGAGGCAAACAGCCTCTACAGCCCAGCGGCGCTGTCACTGCGCCCTCTGGTGGCCGCCTGCAGTTCCTCTGGTGTCCAGCAGAGGCAGCAGAGCGCCAGTCTCCACAGACGCCCATGTTATCAGAATCAGATCATTTATGAGGAAATGATGTGTTTACAGTCGCTCCAAGACAATGAGAGCAACAGACTGAACCAGTGAAATAATGTATTATACAGTTACAAACATAAGAAATCGCTCAATTATAAACATCCAGAATATTACAGAGGTGAAATATGTATGATTGACATTTTTATTTTTTTAAACGAACTTTATTTAGAACAATAACAATGACAATCTCAAAGAGACAAGCGACATATTGAATCATTCAGAACAGAATCACACCTCCTTTTTCTTTTCTCCCAATCAGAGGAATACACATCACTGCCACAGTTGGTACACCACGATGAAATCGACAATAACTGAAAGTAAACACACATACACACACAGACATATATATGTATACATGTCTGTGTGTATAAATGTGTACGTATGCATATACACACGCATCTACATAATAATAATAATATAAAAAGATGAATAACCAATACAAAAATAACTAAATAACAATAAAAAAGAATGAAAAACAAGGAACAGAAATAAAGGAGACAAGGGGATCACAAACTCTCTACAAGTGAGGTTCCATAAACAAGACACATAACTTAAATAAGGGGCTAAGAGAAATCAAACTCTTCTAAAAAACTATGCAGTTTGATTGCTCGGAGCTTATTTATTAGCTTAAGAGATTTACGGGAGTTAGTTTTTAAGAGCAGGCCATGAAGGGGGGATTTAGCATATCGGCATTTATGAATGTAATGCTTTGTTATAATAATGATATATGATTGACCTGTGAATTTCACCGTGTGCTGTGCGTTAGATGGAGCTGTACAGAAATCCACAGACAGTGGTGCATTATGGGTAATCTCAGTCTCTCACTGAACGTGCTCCTGTGACTGGCCAGCACGTCATTGAGTGGGTGGGCGGTATTATCCAGCATCGTCCTTATCTTGGACAAACATCCACCTCTCTGACACCACCCTAATAGGGTCCAGCTTTGAGGTAGAGCAGGTCACCTACTGATCAGAAGGTTGGTGGTTCAATCCCTGCATGCTAAGTATCCTAACCTCCGATGCATCCATCAGAGTATGAATGTGTCTGCATGTAGTCAGAAAGCACCAAGTATAGGGACGGTGAATGGTGCACGTTGTACAGAGCGCTTTGAGTACTCTGGAGTAGAAAAGTGCTGTATAAGAATCATATAAGAAACTTAGTATTTAACACCAGTGTCCACATCTCTTCTTCGCCAGTTTGTCAGCTAACTTGTGTTAGTAACAGGCCATCTTTACTCGCCGTACTAAGTAACTATGGATAACTTACCATACTGTCCTTGTGGTCTCTGGATTCACCACTGCCTGCAGCCCGCTCACTTCTTGGACGCTGGTCACCACCTTTCCCCATCTGCCTGGATCTCCAGATCAATCAGCCTGGAGGTTGTTTACACCCTTGCTGGATGCTCACCCGGCTATCCACGCTTCTCTTCATGCCATTACCACTCCACCTGCCATAACTCAGTCTGTCTCCTCATCTACACCCCGGGCTTCCTGAGCCTCTGCTGATAAACCTTTCCCTCTGTTCACAGAGCCCCGCACATCTGACACACGTTGTAGCAGTACCTCTCTGGGTTTTCTTTGTGTCACCAAATAAAGCTTGTGAGAAACCTTACCATTGCTTCCCGTACTCATAGTCATATCTGGGTCCACGTCCACGTATTGGTCTCTGAGCCCCGTAACACTCACAGGTCAGTTCAATTCTGTTTTATTTAAATAGCGCCAAATCACAACAAAAGTCACCTCAAGATGCTTCGTATTGTAAGGTAGACCCCACAATAATACATACAGAGAAAAACCCAGCAATCATATGACCCCTCTGAGCAGCACTTTGGCGACAGTGGGAAGGAAAAACTCCCTTTTAACAGGAAGAAACCTCCAGCAGAACCAGGCTCAGGGAGGGGCGGGGCCATCTGCTGTGATTG